ACAGAAAAACATTCAGGGCCAGATCACTGTCTGTTGTCAGAGGTTTCTGTTCTGTCCAGTTCCTGCTGTTGTTAAGTCCCAAAGAAATCACACAGAGGTCTACATTAATTATAAACTGATTGGCCCATTAGCTCAGGCTTCTTCTTAACTCTTATACCTTATATTAGCCCATTATTCTAGTATATGTTAGCCACGTGGCTCGGTACCTCTTTAAATGGGGCAAGTCGCATCTTCCTTCTTCTGTGTCTGGGCAGGACTGGGAAGGAACGGGCTTCCTCCTTCTCAGTATTCTCCTGTTTTCCTTGACCTACCTCTACTTTCTATCTGGTTGTCCCACCTATGCTTCCTGCCTGGTTACTGGCCAATCAGTGTTTATTTAAAACATAATTGACAGAATATAGATAATTGTCCCTCACCACTTCTCTGACAGTTCAAACATATTCTGTCAACTATGTTTTAAATAAATGCTGATTTGCCAGTAGCCAGGCAGGAAATATAGGTGGGACAAACAGACAGAAGTAGAAGCAGGTCAATGAGAACAGGGGAATTCTGGGAAGGAGGAAGCCCATTCCTCCCCATTCCTGTCTCAAGCATAGAAGAAGGAAGATGTAATTGTCCTGCTGAAAAAAGTACCAAGCCATGTGGCTAACATAGATAAGAATAATGGGTTAAAAAGCTTCAGGGTCACAACTGCCGGGAGCCCTCACCCATACTGATGTGCTTTTGCTGCTGTTGCTTGTTTGCTGTTTTTGTTTGTTTGTTTGTTTATTATTTGGTGATGCAGCTGTCTTTGAGTCAACCATCTGCAACTTGAGTTCTAGGTAATCTGACTCCATCTTCTGGCAAAACATAAAACAAAATTAGAAACCTAAAACAACAACAAAAACATTGATTTGCGAATGTTGAGTAAAGTAATATCTTTAAGGAAACTGAAGTTTTACTTTAAGTCAGGGGATGGAGAATGCTAGAAGGGATTAGTGATTGTGGTGTCAGAGTTCTAGAATCATTGATATGTTGCTAGTTACATAGAAAGGACATAAGTGCTGTGAGAAGGCATACTTCAGAGACTATAGTACTCTAGAAAGCTCATAATATAGATGATAGCAAAGAACAATGGACAGGTAAGAAAGGATAGACATGTTCCTAAATTTGACTAGGGTGTTGTAAATTAACGGTAGTGATTTGAACTTGTGTTTATGTTTCTTTCTTTTACTACAAAGAGAACATGTACCAGTGATATCTGCTGTAAATATTTCCTTCTCTCATACAGAAAATTGCTCCAAATTTGGGTTTTGATGTTATCAATTGTTTACATGGGGTGTTTATGGTAATCAAAACCATGTTTGGATAAACTATCAGACTGGAAGTTGATATCATACATGTGTTGGTATACATGTTTTGTAGTATATAAATTGGACAGATTAATAAAGTTTTGTCATTCTGTCTGTTACAAAACATGAGTCCTTATGAATTAGTGTTCTTATACAGGTGATCCTAAAGAGATCCCCACCCACTTTTGACATCCCAACATAAACTATCAAGACACAGCCTTGGATCAGAAAGTAGCTTCTCACAGTCACCAAATGGTTATCCACCCAAAGCTACAAATTTGAGATTGGGGCAACAATCAGGCAATGTCCTTTAAATATGTCTTACTAATAGGAAGCTTTTATATGTTATTCTTGTTCAATCTCACAGTCACTTCTGAGAAAAGCATTTAATGTCACCAGATCAATGAGTGTATTAGAATGATGTTCACTAATTTGAACAATAAGATTCATGTAAATGAGTCAATTCTTTACAGGACTGTATAAATTGTATAGAGATCAAAATTATGCTATATAGCTCTGACATTCTTCACCCTTTTATACTTTGATTGCAAGTTTTGAGGGTTGCTTATGTAAAATGAGTTCATTAAATAAAAAATAATTTTATGAAATAAAACACAATCCATTTTATATAATTATTTCTAACATTTTGAAATGTCAAGTCATTTGTTGTCATATTATTTAATTTTATATTTACCTTGTGTTATATATCATATACATACACACACACATACATATATATATATATATATATATATAGAGAGAGAGAGAGAGAGAGAATTTATCTGTATTATAAAGTAAAATTCTAATTTGGTATCCTTGCTAAAATGTTGACAATTTGCATTTAGCAATGTTTATATAATTGTCTACCATTTATAAATTGATTATTATAGTTTTATTTTCTAGTTTGTTCTGGTACTTTATGCATTTTCATTTGTTTTCCTATACCTTCTTCTAGTTCTCCACCCTGATAATTATTGTTGTTTTATGTTATATTATTAGGTAGAGAAACTCTTCACTTTGTCTCATTTGTAAAATTCTTTTAGCAGAACGCCACACAAAACCCACAGAATCAACTAACCTGAGCTCATAGGGACTCACTGAGACTGATTCACCTACCAGAGAGTTTGCATGGGATTTACCTGGGCCCTCTGCAAATACATTACAGTTGGGTAGCTTGATCTTCTTGTAGGACTCCTAACAGTGAGGACAGGGACTGTCTCTGACTCTGTTACCTGATTTTGGGGACCTTTTCTCTTACTGGGTTCTATCATCCAGCTCTAATATGAGAGGAGGTGCCTAGTCTTGCTGCTACATGATGTGCCATGGCTATCTGAAATACATGAAAGGCTTGCCCTTTTCTGACTAGAACGGAGGGGATTGTGGATCCTTCAGGGGTAGATAATGGAGGGAGAGATTGGAATGAGAGGAGGGATGGAAATCTGTGATCATCCTGGAAAGAGTAATTAATTAATTAAATAAAAAAGAATATATTGGGTCAATATTTTCAAGATTTTTATGTTTATAAAATAATTTTATGTTTTTGTCACAATGTACCTGTTGTATTTTCTCATTCTTCAGTCAGAAAACATTTTGTTGTTATCTGGAAATAAGACTACATACAATTGGAATATTTTAGTATCTAAAATACTATATATATATATATATATGTATATAAATTCAGGAAAGATGGTTTACTTCTGAGTATATTCACTAAGAATTTTCAGCAAGAATAAAATAGCATATATGTATGTTTGAAGTCATTATATTGCTGAAGATATTTCTGCATTGCTTTGGCTTCATGTTATTTCTGAATAAGTTATTTCATATTTTTATTTTATAGGAATGTACTATGAAGTTATAGAATCATGAAAAATAATGAAGAGGAATAAAACATTTCTCTGATGTAAATAGACTCATATACATCTTGATGAGATAGAGATATATCTTCACTTTAAGAAATGCAGAGGTATTACTAGTTATTCTCTTGACATTTAAAAACTGATTTTTCTATGTACCTATTGTTTAAAGTGAAATGTACTATGGACAAAAATGACAAGGGTCAATAAATTTACACATAAAATGATCTTTATGATTCTAAAGGTCATAGACCAGTCTAAAGACAAATGTGATAATAATGTAATATGTGTTATTTTATAGAACTTATACGAAATGCTCTGGAATAATAATGAAGGAAATAATATTTTGATGATAGCTGGTACAAATGAACTTAGCTTTGAGTTGGATTTCTAATAGTGAATAGAAATTTAGCAATGTGAACCTATCAAGAGTGAGAGTTAACAGTGTATAGAATTGACATATTAATTTGTTTAAGAAGTACCAACTGCTTCCGAAATCTTCGAGAGCTAGCTCTAGCTACAAGAGTCAAGCAATGTAAAGACTGAAAAAGCCCAATTCCTTATTAAAGTCATATCCTGCTCAAAGTTATATACATGAAACAAATAAGCAAATATAATCTGACGGCAGCTAGTAAATGTTCTCTATATGAGATAATGAAAAGAATGCTCTGGAATGACTGTGAATGATAGGGCACTATCTTAAATAGAATAGTTATGTGAAGACTATAAATAAGAGGAATAATATAATTAAAGATTATCAAGAAAAGCATTAGTGGGAAGAAGGACTCTCAAGTGAAAGACTGAGAGAAAAACTGTTATGAGAAAATCACTTCCCCTTATTAGAGATGTATAGAGACTTAAGGACTAAAATAAACACCTATAATTATTTTCTGTTTATCTATGGTTAATATAAATTATGTGGTCACAAGTTAGAGTCCCTATGGATACATCAAACTCCAATCCTATGAAAAACTAAAAAGATGTCTTTCATGACAGACTAAGTGTAATGTACTTTCTCTTAATCATGTCATGTGAAAGCCTTCTCCCCCAGTTTCCAATAATTTGTAGATGTTGATTCCATTATCTAGTACCTTTACTTGAATTTCTGAGGAGGAGATAACTTTTATATATTAAATTTAGAGAATAACATATTTTCAGTTTGAGCTAACAGGGCCACATGAAGAGAAGCTGTAAAGATGAAAGATAAATAATAAGATTCTTAGAACAATTTTACCTGTCCAAAGTTTTCCTCAGTCAATTATATCTTCTATTTGTTTAACTAGCATAAAATATGTTGAAAGTATAGTTTCATAAACAATAGTAATAATAAACCATATATTCCAAGAAGAGTAAAATAATTTTTTCAAATGCTGATCTTTACAGATATGACTATTTGACTTCCTTTGGAGGCAAAACAACAGGAAAAATGGTAGGACAAATGCCCGAGAAGGAGACAGACAGCATAGACCCAGGGCTGAGCAATGTCAACAGGCTACCTATGGGGTTTCCAAGAACAGTCTTCCAGGAAAGTCCCCCATACCAAAACAATAAGCATTCATTGCCTTCTCAAGGTTTTCAATTCCAAGGATTTCAACATCTTAGCAAAATAACACCAAACAATTCATCTACTGATATGAAAACTGTTAACTTTCAATTGTCAAATACGAGTAATGACACACAGCAAGACAAAATTGGCAGTTTCCAACCAAATATGTCAAACTCTACTCACCTACAATACAACTGCCCACAATCTATTCAAGACAAAATGACAGTGAATAGATGTTCCAGCTCTTCTCAGCTGACTTCACCAAGAATGACAGAAGCTGAAGAGAAATCTTGCAATACATGGAAGAATATAAGAAAATCGTATGTACAGAAAAAGGTGCCAGTTCAAAAAGTGCCTCATTTTGTTCCTGATCAAGCATCCGAGAAGAAAAGAACAACCCCTCTCAACACTGCATATACCATTCGAAAGTCAAGGCCAGTCAGTGGTGTCCATACTCGATCATATAGGGACAGAGTGATTCACCTACTAGCACTGAAAGACTACAAGAAATATGAACTTCTTGTTCAACTGCAAAAAGATGGCATCAAAATAAATGACCCCAATTTTCTTGGAAAAATTCTGCTGCAGGTGGCTAATTTGAATGCCACTACTTTGTCATACACATTAAAAGACAGTATCTTCAATGAGATTCAGAGAGATTGGCCTGGCTATAATGAGGAAGACAAGTTGTTATTGGATTTGGTGCTTTCCAGAAAGCTACGTCCATTTCACAATGCTACCAAGGCCACCCATTGCAAAGAGTCATCTGTAGTTTCCAAAACAGATGATTCATCATCCTCAAAGGATCATTTTCTCTCTTTATCTGGTATTGACACTTTAATGAAAAATAAAGGTGGATTCTCTGCCCCTAAATCTGGTGGACAATTAACATCAAATGGCCAAGCAAGTGGTAACAGTGAGAAACCTGTAATTCTGTCGTGTTCTGCTGCTACTACCAAATGCATCCCTCGACCATTGCCTGGCTCCCATCTGCCAATTTCGAATTCACCAGTCCTTATAAGATCTAATCGCAATGTTTGTAGTTCTCCAGAAGATGGGACTCAAAATCCATGTGACATCAGCCATGACAGTGGCATGCTTGAACGAGAGATGAATAAGCACACTTCTTTCGAAGCTCCATCCTGTGTTTCAGTTCAAAAAATGTATTCAAAGACAATAGAAATACCACATTTTATGCCTGAGAAGTTCAAATGTGCATTTGCAAAGCGAAAAACAACTATCCCAAACTACATTACCAGCACAATGGAGAAACCAAAGACAGATTTTAAGAAACAAGATAAAATTATGAAGTCAGATTCTAACAAGGAAGTTAAAAAAGTTTTCCCTGATTATGGGAAGACCAGTTTTACATCTGAAACTCCAGATTATTTGGCAAATTATTCCATTATACTTTCCTCTGACCAACGTCAGTGTTATGAGAAGGAATTCAGGGCAGATTATAGTGAATATCAAGCCACATACAACAAGATACAGATTTTATGCACACCAATCATTGGCCTAGATTCAGAAAGAAAGGAATTTTCTCCAGGATCAAAAGAATACCAATATATTACTAAAAAAATTTTAGTAGCCTATCAGAAAATGCGGCAGCTTAATCCTAAATTTTGTGAAGAAAAGGATAGATGTGTGTTTCTTTACAACAAGCTGGTTCACATTAAAAAGTTAATAAATGATTTTGACCAGCAAGAAGTAAAATCTACACAGTAATGGGGGGTTTGGACAAGAATAAACTTGATTTATTGAAATTCAAGGTGACTTGCTCCAAGATTCTAAAGGGATGGTACTTGAAAGTTTTTTGAAACTTGCAACAGTATTTAAATTTAGTTTGTTTTATATTCATTTTTTGCTTTCTTATAATTCTGAAGCTGCATTATATGATTGTTTAAACTCCAAGATTTGTGCTTCCACTACAAATTTCATGATATTGTGAACCTAATGTCTATGAAATAAAAATGTACACATAGAAAAATAAAATGAGGAAGTTAAAATATTTTTGGATACTAGCCTCTCCTCTTGAATAGTCATTATTCAAGTTAATAATTCAAACAGAGGTTGAAAACTTTACACACAGTATTTCAACATATCTTGTTAGAACACCAGTTATAGTCAAACACCTAAAGATTTTGAGCTATGGGGAATGCCTTAGAGTTACTATTGCCACCATGAAACAATCAACAACACAAGCTGGGGAGGAAAGGGTTTCTTTGGCTTATGCTTCCAAATTACTGTTCATCATCAAAGGAAGTCAGTACAATAACTCAAACATGGCAGGAACCTGAAGGCAGGAGCTGATACAGAGGTTATGGATGGGTGATGCTTACTGGCTTGCTCCTATGGCTTTGCTTACCCTACTTTCTTTTTTTAATTTATTTATTTATTAAAGATTTCTGTCTCTTCCCCGCCACCGCCTCCTATTTCCCTCCACCTCCCCCAATCAAGTCCCCCTCCCTCGTCAGCCCAAAGAGCAATCAGGGTTTCCTGCCATGTGGGAAATCAAAGGACCACCCACCTCCATCCAGGTCTAGTAAGGTGAGCATCCAAACTGCCTAGGCTCCCAAAGCCAGTACGTGCAGTGGGATCAAAAACCCATTGCCATTGTTCTTGAGATCTCAGTAGTCCTCATTGTCCGCTATGTTCAGCGAGTCCAGTTTTATCCCAGGCTTTTTCAGACCCAGGCCAGCTGGCCTTGGTGAGTTCCCGATAGAACATCCCCATTGTCTCAGTGTGTGTGTGCACCCCTCGCGGTTCTGAGTTCCTTGCTCGTGCTCTCTCCTTCTTCTCCTGATTTGGACCTTGAGATTTCAGTCCGGTGCTCCAATGTGGGTCTCTGTCTCCTTTCATCGCCCGATGAAGGTTAATATTCAGGAGAATGCCTATATGTTTTTCTTTGGGTTCTCCTTCTTATTTAGCTTCTCTAGGATCACCAATTATAGGCTCAATGTCCTTTATTTATGGCTAGAAACCAAATATGAGTGAGTACATCCCATGTTCCTCTTTTTGGGTCTGGCTTACCTCACTCAGGATAGTGTTTTCTATTTTTATCCATTTGCATGCAAAATTCAAGAAGTCCTTGTTTTTTTACTGCTGAGTAGTACTCTACTATGTATATATTCCATACTTTCTTCATCCATTCTTCCATTGAAGGGCATCTAGGTTGTTTCCAGGTTCTGGCTATTACAAACAATGCTGCTATGAACATAGTTGAGCATATACTTTTGTTGTATGATAGGGCATCTCTTGGGTATATTTCCAAGAGTGGTATTGCTTGGTCCAGGGGTAGGTCGATCCCAAATTTCCTGAGAAACCGCCACACTGCTTTCCAAAGTGGTTGCACAAGTTTGCATTCCCACCAGCAATCTGCCACGCACCGCGCCCACTTGTCTGTGCTCTGTGCGCTGGCACCCAGTTTGCGAGCCTTGGGCAAGGGGGCTGGAGGTTAAAATACACAAACACACACAGACAGAGAGACAGCAACATGGGTCTTCCTTGAATTCACCAAGAATGTCCCCTTTATTGTGTTCAGGGGCAGATTATATAGAGATAGCCACGCCCCAGCCAAACCCACCTGAAACTAGTATCCTGCCATCAGGAACTCCTGAAGGTCTCGTGCTCAGAGCAGCTGTAGGCACTCAGATCAGGGGATCACAAGAAATTCAGGATCTGGGGTCTCACTGCTCCCAACAATTACCAGCCTAAGGCTGGCCACACCTACACACAATGGACTGGGCCCTCCCCAATCAATCACTAACTGAGAAAATACCTACACTCAGATCTCACGGAGGCGTCTTCCCAATTGAAAAGGCTCTCTCCTCTCTGATGACTCTAGATTGTATCATGTTGACTAAAACTAGCCAGCACAGGATTTAAACTGTGTATTCAAAACACTACTCATTTTCAAATAAGATGTATTGTATTTACAAATCTGAACTGTTTCCCTAAAGAGGTATCTCTTTAGTTAATGTCTGTATCTGTCACCCAAAAGAAAATTGATACATACCAAAGAAAGTAAATAACCATTATATATACTTCAGGAAGACCACTAAGCAAACAAGCACTGCTTTCAACGTGTTCTATAGGTTTTGGCACATTGTGCCTTTATTTTTGTTGAATTCTAGAAAGTCTTTAATGTCTTTATTTCTTCCTTAACCGAGGAGGGTTCAATTGAGCACTGTTCAATTTCCTTGAGTTTGTAGGCTTTATGCAATTAGCATTGTTGGTAAGTTCTAATTTTAAATTATGATGATCTGATAAAATACAGGTGATTACTCCATTTTTTTTTATAAATTGAGGTTTGTTCTGTTACCAAATATGTGGTCAGTTTTAGAGAAGGTTCCATAAGAATCTGGAAGAAGGTATATATTCTTTTGTGCTTGGGTGGAATGTTCTGTAAAGTTCTGTTAAGATCATTTGAGTCATGACATCTGTTAGTTCTCTTATTTCTCTCTTAAATTTCTGTCTGTTTGACCAGTCCATTTAGGAGACTGGGGTGTTGACGTCTTCTACTATTAGTATGTGGGGTTTGGTGTGCAATTTAAGCTTTATTAATGTTTCTTTTACATATGTGGGTACACTTGTAATTGGGTCATAGATGTTCAGGATTGAGAATTAATCTTTATGGATTGTTCCATAAATTCTCCATCTCTTCTGATTGATTTTAGTTTGAAGTCAATTTTGTTAGATATTAGGATGGCTACACCTGCTTGTTACTAAGGTCCATGTGATGGGAAAATCCTTTCTTAACCCTTTACTCTGAAGTAATGTCTGTCTTTGAGGGTGAGGTATGTTTCTTGTATGCTGCAAAAAGATGGATCCTACTTTTGTATCCAATCTCTTAGCCTGTGTCTTTGTATAGGTGAATTAAGTCCATTGATATTAAGAGATGTTAATGAACAGTGATTATTAATTTCTGTTATTTTTGGTGTGTTTGTGTGTTTCCCTTCTTTAGGGTTTGCTGGTATGAGGTTATCGGTTCCCTGTGTTTTTATGGGAGCAGTTAGCTTTCTTGGGTTGGAGATTTCCTTAAAATATGATTCACTTTTACAATGGAATACTACTTGGCAGTTAAAAACAATGACATCTTGAAATTTGCATGCAAATGGATAGAACTAGAAAAACCATCCTCACTGAGGTAACACAGACCCAGAAAGATGAACATGGTATCTACTCACACCTAAGTGGATACTAGCTGTAAATAAAAAGATTAGTAGGCTATTAATGATCCTAGAGCAACTAAGTAACAAAGTGAACCTGAAGAAAAACATACATAGATCTACCTAAAAGGGGGAAATAGATGAGATTGCTTGACAAAATTGGGAACATGGGGTGGGGGAAAAGGGGGGCAGAAGGGAAAGAGGAGGAAAAGAGAGATGGGTGAGAACTTGAGGAGTGGGATAGATGACATGGACGAAGGACATTCACATTATAATACATGAGATACTTCTTTAATGTGTTATTAGTCAAAGAGGCCTCAGAGATCTCCAAATCAACATAAGCTACTGGCATTGTAATTGGTTACCAACCACAACTACATGGTAAGATACTGTTGCTGAAGACACTATACACCTTTGCAGAAGAATGTAGAGAACTACTTTTATGTTTCAGAAAAGTGTTATATAATATGCTGTGGCAGAAATTAGGTCAATGGTCTTACCCAGTGCTGGACCATGTATGTTACAGTACTGACCTGAGAGGCAAAATATGTTTACTGGAACAATGGGGGCATAACTCTTTGGGAATAACTAAATATATTCTGATTATATCTGAAGATTTTTCCATAAGAAGTAATTTTATGTCTAGTCTTATAATCTTGTTCAAAATCCTTTGGCTGTGGAGGTCATAGTGTATAACCTATTAAAGACCCTAAGCTAGAGCACATACATGTGGAGATCAGTGGGCAGAATCTAGGGAAGCCATAGAGTAGAGCATATTATTGTTAAATAATTATGTTGTCAAATCGCCTTCCAATTATTTATGTTTTTTGTCCATATGCTTGGCTAGCTCTTGACATTTGACAGAGAATTTTCTTTTTGTACTAAGCAACAATTGATCCAGAGAATCATAACTGATTAAACTGTTGAGAATATGAGACTCTGAACACTCTGCCCTATTTGGAGTGTTTTTATCAACTTCCAAACCTTTTCAGCTGGGTTCAGGAGACATCTTGAGAGAGATCACAAAAAATATAGTAACCATAGCTAGGCAGGCGTTCTGTGAAATTCTGTCTTCTGGAAAAGACATGATTTGTGCATGCATAAGCTCACAGCATCTATGGTTGTCTGAACAAGAACTCTTAAGAGCAAGCCATCTGAAATTCTAACAATGATTGGGAGGTACACTCAGGAACCTATCCTATATTCATCCCTTTGGGAGTTGATATCTGCCAGAGAAGGAAGAATCATCCATTTTTGAGGATATGGCCAATGGTAGGCTTTTCAAGCCAAAGTGGATTGTTCTATACCTATTCACATATAAGCAGCACTAATTAAATACAGAAAAAGAAGAAGGAAAGACAAATAAATGAAGTTGTAATGGGGATGTGCTGGGGAAGATGTAAGGTAGAGTTTGAAGGGTTTGACATGCAGATTTTGGCTATAATCACACTTCATTGTACACACATATGAAATACTCAAAGACCAAAACACACACAAATATACACACAAACACACACACACACACACACACACACACACACATATATATATATATAT